AGTAGCCACGCGCGGCCAGTGAGCCTCGCCACCAGCGGGGGCTCGGAGGAGGAGGACAAAGACGGCGGGGTGCTATTTCACGTTAACAAGAGCGGCTTCCCCATCGACAGTCACACCTGGGAGCGTATGTGGATGCACGTGGCCAAGGTGCACCCCAAGGGGGGAGAAATGGTGGGCGCCATCAGGAACGCTGCCTTCTTGGCAAAGGTCAGTGGCTTCGAGGGAGGGGGTGGGGTAGGCAGTGATGGGACTGTTTCAGCCTGTATCTAGCAAATAGAGGCAATTTCCATTTTTCTGGTCCTGTTACAAACTCCCTTCCCCTCATTCTTCCCGCCCACCCGCCCCCTCTCCCTTACTTAATTGAGGTATTTGTCTTGGATGCCTTAGAAATGGGGCAGGGGAGGGGGGCTTGCTGTCCTGGGTCTGCGCAGTCAGCTTGTGCCAAGGTTTTGAGTCTGGAGACAAACTCTATTATTTACCCACCCCCATGTACCTCCTGCTTCATCAAAAACTGTAGCCACCAGGTAGCACCAGCGATGCCAAGAATGCATAGGTCCCCTGGGGATTCCATCCTGCTTTTCCTCTTTGGAGTCTCTTGGCCCTCCCCTGTCCCCTCCTCGCACATGATTTATTAGGCTGTGAATGAATTTGCAGTCAGACTTAGCCTGAATCATTCCTGGACTTTTTGCCAATTTTTTTTTTTATGACAGTGACTTTAACCTCTGAAACTTGTGAAACAGTCAACTCTTTTCCCAGCTTCTCTGGGCTCCAAGAAAAAAGGAAGAGTTTTGACTGTGGCTTAAAAGGGACTTTCCAGTACACGTGATGAATTAGTTTCACTGGCTAGAGAAAGAGGCTCAGGAGTGAAACTCTTTTCTACCTTGGTGAGAAGCCAATGAGCCAGCTGGGTTTGGTGGCCAAGGATAAGGTTAATAAAATGGAGGGAGGGTGATATGCAGTGGTCGCTCAATGAAATATCAGAATGCAAACTGGAGGGAGAATGCTGCAGAGCCTGGGGTTTGTGGCATGGCAGATGGCTTCCCCTGCGTGAGGACACTGGTATGGCCGAGAAGATTCCTGGGCAGGTCTAGGAATGCCAGACCTGAGACCTAGAAGGCCATCTGGTTGAGTCCCCAACCTGGAGCATCTGGTGACCTGAGCATCTGAGCCCTGCAGGCCAGAAAGCTCTGTGTGCCCTTGGGGGAAGTGACATTGCCTGTAAACCTCCTGCTGCAGTCACGGTGTTTTATTACCCTGCTGGTCAAGGAAATCTTCATTATGCCCAACGAGAATCTTGCCTGCTTAGTGTCGGCTGTAATTACCCATCCTGAGTTCTCCTTGAGCACGAAAACCATCCTGGTACTGGCTTGCAGTTCTGACTTCAGAATTTGCCCTTAAGTGAGCCTTTTTAATTCAGCACCCTCAGCACCAACCCTGCTTCTAATTGTGGCTTCATCCTTCTTCTGACCTTGTGGGTGGGGACCTCTGTTCTCTATGGGAATCCGAGAATGTGAGTGTTGGTAGAGACCGGTCTCCCACCTATCAGCGAAATCCCTTCCTCTTTCTGAAGACCTTCTGGGGGTGGGGGTGGGGGTCATCACCTTACAGGACAGCTGGTCCTAGGGATGGTCAGATTTGGCTATTGGGAAATTCTTTTCTTAAACTAAACAGAATTCCTCTTCCTTCCTTGGTCACAAGTCGCCACTGATTCTTGTGTTCAAGAACTGAAGGGCAGCTTACATTGACTTCCTATGCTACTCACAGCTCCTCAAATTATGGGATGGTTCTTTTAGAGTAAGGAAGGGGCTTAAAGTAAAAATCAAAAGGCTGAATTTTAGTCCTGCTTGTGCTACTTTTAGGTCATTCACTTAAAAATCTCCAGCCTTAGTTTTCTTATCTATAAAATGGGAGTAGACAAGATTTCATGTAAAGTTCTTTTAAACTCTTAAATCCTGTAGTGTCGTGATCCATGAGTCTCTGGGTTTCCAGTGATCTGTGTGACACTAGAGGTGCACTGGACTACGAGTCCTCAGAACTGTGACGTTCTGTCATTCTGCATCTTCCTTTAATAATCATCCTTGTCCACAGGTGGTTCCTTTCACCTTTTCTTATGTGTCACAGTTTCCAGATCAACTCACTTTTCTTGTCTTCTGTCTAGCGTAATTGCTAGTTTGTCATCAGCCAGTCCCCTATTAACAAGCACAATATGAAACACAATATTCTAAATGTTATCTCAGCAGCTTAGAACATAAAATGACTGCTTCCTGAGACCTATACTTGATACTATTGTTATTGTGGCTGAATGCTGGGTTCTTTAAAAAAGCATTCCTTTTTTTTTTTGTATAGCAGCTACATCATATTGTACTTTTCATAGTCACCCAAAGGTCACATGGGAACTCCTGCCAAGCTAGGACAACCCCAACCTGAATGTGGGCATCGGCTTTTTGAACTTAAATAGTTAATATTTCTCTCTTATATTGCATCTTAGTGGTTGGTTCTCCATCCTCAACCCCATCACAGCATCCTGTCTCTCCCTGGTACCCACATGCCCCCAAACCCTGACCCCTATGCAGGCCCTGGGAAGGGAACAGCTTTGAAAGCTCCTGTTTCCAGGAGCCACTCCTCTCTGACTCCAGGGCTATTCCTGCACTCAGCATGACAGACTTCTTCCTCTGGGCCAAGTCCTTTTCTCCTTTAATCAAATCAGTGTCGTACTGAGGAATTTGTGTAGAGGAGGGGTGATGAGGGTAGTGGTGGAAGGGTTGGAGAGTTTCAGGGAGATTATTATTATTATTATTATTATTTGGCAATTGAATGTGGACTAAGAAGCAAAAGAAGTGGGCAGGGGAAGGTGTCAAGGCCTAAGCGGAGGACTGAATGACACTTCATTTGACTTCAGGACATTCTGTTAGCAGCCGTAGTAAGTTCTGCCCAAAGGTCCAGGTGCCCTCACTGGGGAAACAGCGGTAGGTTTCATTTACTCTGAGATCCTCCTCTACATTTGTGAGTGCAGGGCTCTCCCCTGGTGGTTACTGGGCCTGCAGTTAACAGTTGACTAGGGGAAGGCCAGGGTTTTGCGGGGATAGTGCAAGAAAGAGCACGAGTCAGCTGGAGGATAGCAGAGGTTGGGAAGGGAGGGGAGGGAGGGTGGCTGGCCAAGAAAAAACAGCTGGGTGGACCAGGAAGCAGCACCTCCCGCTTCTTGACTGGCTGGAGCCCGGCTCCCCTGGGGCAGACTGCCGGCTGGATCCAGCAGGAAACACCAAGCAGTTTCTCGCAGATGCCACATTTTTGTGCCTCGTTCTCATGTTGATCCCAAATTGGGAAATAATTCACATTTAGAGGGCTCAGCTTTGCCTGAGTGAAGAAGTGTGAGGGCTGTGGGGTGAGACTTTGCTGTAGTCGGAGCTCCACTCCTGCCCCCTGCTGGCTCACCTGGGCAGCTCACTTCTTCCCCTGCCCTGCATCCCTCTGGACCTCCAGATCAGGCCACCACCAACAGATTCCTGGCTGCCCCTGATTCGGGAATCTGGGACCCATCCTGGGCTCCTGAGTGATGTTCCATGCTCCCCTCCAGGTTGCCAGAGAAGATTCTTCTGCCTTGTACCTGCACCGTGTATAGTACATTTCCAGAGTGGGGATGGCACGAGGCTTTGCTTTCTCCTTGTCCTTTTTTTTTTATTGAGTTATAGTCAGTTTACAATGTTGTGTCAATTTTCAGTGTAGAGCACAATTTTTCAGTTATACGTGAACATACATATATTCATTGTCACATACTTTTTCACTGTGAACTACTTTTTAAAAAATTTTATTTGAAGTATAGTTGGTTTACAATGTTGTATTAATTTCTGGTGTACAGCGTAGTGATTTTGTGTAGTGATTTATATTTTTCATTAAGGGCTATTACAAGATATTGAATATAGTTCCCTGTGCTCCATAGTAAGACCTTGCTGTTTGTCTATCCTTGTATTTTCTTTTTCTTTTTAATTTTTTAAATTGAAGTATAGTCAGTTTACAATGTTGTGTTAATTTCTGGTGTACAGCACAGTGATTTTATTATATATGCATATATATATATATATATATATATTCCTTTTTATCTTCTTTTTTTTATTAAGGGCTATTACAAGGTATTGAATATGGTCCACAGTAGGAGTTTGCTGTTTATCTATCCTTGTACTTTCTTGTTAAAGCTTTCTGGCACCTGGGGCTCTTGCTACCTCCTTGGCTCCTTTTCTGGCTTCTCCCTTCTCCCACGTGGTGATCCATAGTGTTGATACACGCTGGTGTCTGTCCACATCCCTTCCTGCATTCTTCTGACAGGTCATTGTGTTTGGTGTGAATGGAGGCAAAGAGAGCCTGTCCACAGCAGCTTGCCTGTGGTTTGGTTCATTTTTCTTCTTGAACAACCATCTTTCTGTTGTTCCACTCCCCTCCCTCCTATGCCCCCCGCACCCGCCAGGGCCCCCACCCCTTGACCCTAAGTGCAGTGCCTGTGTGGAGAGGGTGGCTGTGATCTGTGCCTTCTAGATTCTGCCTTCATCAGCTGAGCTGTGGGTGACGGGGCTGGTGCAGGTGGCAGGAGGGAGCCTCTAGGGGAAGGGCAGGGGAATTCTAGGCTGGAGGTCTAGGTGAAACGGGGCAGGAAAATAATAGGAGGAAGGAGCCTCAGGACCCTAGTCAAGGGGGAGAAAAAAAGGGGTGTGCCCTGGGCTTTTTATAAAAAGGTTGTACCAATCTATTTTCCCATCAGGCCGAATGAGAGCATCCTCAGCAGCAATGAGTCTCCACATTGCAGAATATCTCTGCTAACTGGAGAGGTGAAAAGTGACATGTTGCAGTGACTTTAATTTGCATTTCTTAAATTACTAGTGAGCTGGAACATTTTTTCAAATACTTGCTCACTATTTGCATTTCTCCTTTTGTGAGTTGTCTTTCCGTAGCCATTTTAGAAATTGTGGTGACATATAATTCACCCTTTTAATCACTATTAAGTGTACAGTTTATGCATTAAGCACACTCACATTGTTGCCCAACCATCACCACCATCCATCTCCAAACTGAAACTTTGTACCCATTAAATACTAAGTCCCCAGTTCTCCCTCCCTTCAGCCCCTGGCAGCCACCCTTCTACTTTCTGTCTCAATGAACTTGACCTCTGTAGGAACCTCATCTAAGAGGAATCATATATATCATAATCCTTTTGTGACTGGATTATTTTACTTAGCATGTTTTCAAAGTTCATGCACATATCAGAATGTCCCTCTTTTTAAGGCTGAATAATATTCCATTGCATGTCTACTACATTTTGTTTATCCATTTACATGTTGATGGACACTTGAATTGCTTCCACATTTCAGAACCTTTTTTCTTTTTCATCGAAGACTAAAGAGTTTTCTTATCGCTTCGTATGACTGTTTCATGAATTAAGGATGTTAACTCATGGTCACCACATGCCGACAGGGGAAAGTGGATGTGTTCATCCTCTTCCATCAGGGTGAGGTGGCATCTTTGTGATGCTTCTGAGTTGAGTGCTCAGGGCTCAGCCCCTGCCAATTCTGTTTTCTAGTTCCTGAAAAGTGGAGACCATTTGGGCTCCCCCAGTCTAGACCTCTGAAAACACATTGTTGGTGAGTAATGAGAACATAGTTAACACTTAGAGAGCGCTGTGTGCGTGCCAAGCCCCAGACTGCCTGCTTTATCCATTAGGTCATACGGTCCTCACAGCCGGCCCAGAAGGTTCGCAGTAGGTGATAGTCTTCTGTTTTATCAGGAAGGCACTAGCGGCTTAGAGAGGTCATGCGGCTTGACCAGGGTCCACAGCCAGCAGGTGACAGAGCAGGGACTCATAATTATATCCCAGGGAGCCTGCCTGGCCTGGAGTCCATCGCTCTTTAGGGGCATTGGCACCCCAGAGTGCCGGTCGGGAGCTGACCCCGGCCTGAGCCCCAGCCAGCTACCCAGACGGCAGGGTGGGCTGGAACCAGATGACATCATTCCCCTCCGCAGTCTGGGCTCCCCTCCCCCCCGCAGCCCTGCTCCCCAGCTGGGGTTTGGGGAATGTGGCCACAGCCCCTGCACTCACTCTCAGGCTCTCAGCCGGGGCTGAGGTAACCAGGCAGCTGTTTTTAAAAGCCCTTGGGCGCCACTGGGCTGCTATTCTGAGAACCAGCTGCCGCCCGACTCCCACCGCATCGTCCAGCTCTTGTGGGCTCCGTTAGGCTGGAGGGAGTTGAAATAACTTAGTGGTTGGCCCCCACGGCCAACTCTGAACCCAGTCACGCCGGATGCTTCAGGGCTTTGTCCGGGGGACGCCCCTCTGGGCATCCCTTAGGTGGCTGGTGATTCTGTGGGGCTCTTTCCCATGCTCATCAGCTTTCCTGATAAATAGGTACAAACAGCACTTTTCTGTGTAGAACTATGCTCACGCCTTAGTAAACTGTGGAATTTCCCTCCTCCCTCCTGTCTGTGCCACCTCCCCCTCGTGTACCCAGCCCAGAGCTGGGAACATAGGAGGCGCTACAGAAATGGTCGTTTGCGTCTCCCCTTCCTCACTTCTCTATGGAAGCTCTGGCACATTCTTACAGAGAGTTCAGGTGTGGGCAGATCGGTGGATGTTACTGCAGAAAACAAGGACAGGCTCCCTCGTGTTTGCTAGGGCAGGCACACAAGGACGCACTTCATATTCTGACCCTGGGGGGTGAGTGTGATGGAGGTGGGGGGGTTGTGGGGAGGGCCATGGAAGCAAATGTTCAGATTGGAATATTTTGCTCCCAGAAATGACTCTCCAAGACAGGAATGTGATTTGAGTTGATATGTTGTAAACAAAATGTAGCTTGCAGAACAGCTGTGTGAGTGCGTACGTGGGTGCGCACACACACACACACGCACATACACACACAGCACCTTGGCTGTGAATTAGGATGTGTGATTAGTTTCCTTTTATTTTAAGTAAAAGCAGCCAGAGGTGCAGAAGTATGAAGAGCTTCCTGCCTCAAGCCCGGGACTGTACACCCTCCAGCTTCCCTGTGGGGTCTGAGCTTGGAGAGCTGGCAGAGGACCAGGGAGAGGACCGGGAAGAGGATCAGGGACCCTCCATGGGCTGTGTCTGGCTCAGGTCCCCGGCCGGGCTGCCCAGAGCTGTTCCCAGCTCTGTTCACCAGCAGCTTCACCCTCCGTCAGCTAAGCACTAAATCCTTGGGGCCTCTCTTTCCCTGTTTTCTCGGGGGATGGAACTAATCTGTCCTGCGGTCCCTCTGCTCCTCCCTAAGCGGCTTAGGCCTGGAGGAGCCTCCTCTCCTCCCGGAGCTGCGGGCCCACTGGGCTGGGTGTCTCTGTCACCAGCAGTAACCCCACCAGAGAGGCCGAGGCTAAGGGACGAGGAAACATATCGGAGAAATAAAAGAAACCAGGAGTGACTTCCCAGGAGTGACTGGATTGGAAGCCCCTGCTTATTCTTGCTCTTGGCCTCGCTGGCAGGGCTGCTCAGAGCTGAGTAATGTCTCAGCCCTAAATTCCCAAGAAGAGGCTCTTACCTCCCTCTTTCCAGTCTCTGCCCGCTGTTGCTCCCGCCTCTTCCCTGCAGGGGAACTTCGTACACTCAGTTGGTGAGTGTTGATCAAGAGGTAGACTAGAAGGTGAGGGAGCGACTGGGCATCCAGGAGGGGTAAGAGGGTAAGGGGCTTCTGCGTCAGAAGAGCTGCACTTACATAGGAAGAGTCGAGGCAAGAGGGGACTCTTTCCTACCCCCTTGGGGCGGGACTCAGGGAAGGTGGTGTCGGGAAGGAATGGCATGCCTAGCGCCATATTGCGTTTCTTCAGGGCGCCATTCAGTGGTGCCCTGGAGTGGAGAACATGCAGTGGTCACATCAGCCATGCAATAGAAGTGCAGTCATGCAGTAGAAACGTGAGTATTAATGGAGCATCTCAACTTTCTGGTGCAGGCTCAGGGTTGGGGGTTGAGGGGACACTACAGGACATGGTCCTTGGCCTCAAGGAGGTGCTGAAGCTCCCATTATGGGGGCAGACTTTGTTCACACCAGGAGCAACACAAGGAGGGCTATAGCAAGCCACTGGACCCAGGGCGGAGCGTGTGCACAGGGGCGGCAGACGCCGGAGATCTTCAGCATGGGACTGATGGGCCTGGGGAGACCTTGTTCAGGAGGCACCAGTTGAACAGGTGCCTATGCCAGGGTGGCCATCTGCTCTCAGAAGCAGCTCTGCAGTGGTTCCTGCCCTGGGCCCGCCCCCAGGCACTGGGTCCCAGAGCGTCTCCTGGATAAAAAGCTCTCTCTCTACTTCCCTGCAGCCTTCAATACCCCAGGTTCCAAACTACAGACTGTCAATGACGATCCCAGACTGGCTGCAGGCAATCCAGAACTACATGAAGACACTACAGTATCCTTCCAACCAGGGTCTGAGCAGTCCCAGCCGGGGATGGGCGTAGTGATCGCAAGCCCGGGGGCACTCGGTCCCCAGCTGGTCAGCAAATGCTGTCTGAGGTTGGTGAGGCCGGGCATGGAGGGACACCCCCATGTCAGTCAGAAGGAGCGATACTGGAGGATGTCATTGCAGTGGTCAGATCCTCCTGGTTTAAGCAGGGTGTGGGCCAGGATGGCTAAGGCAGCAAACACCCCTCCCTCTCCCCTCCACCTTCTCTTCTTTCTCCACTTCCTCCTCCTTGGTCATCCTGTCTCCCTCCATTTCCTTTCCTCTACCATCTTTCTTTCTCTCTCTTCCCTCCAGTCTTTTCCTTTTCTTTCCTCTCACTTTTTCGCCTTGTCCTGACTGCTCATTGTCTACAAGAGGCCCACCTGGCATTGCCTTCGGCTCCTGGTGCCCTTGCCCCGTTCGGCATGAGTGAGTGGGGCCCTGGGCTGCGGACCCTCTCTCCTCATGTGAGTTTGAAGGAGAGCCGAGGAGCCCTGGGGGCAGGCTGGGGGCAGAGCAACCAGCCTGTGGCCCATTTCTCTTCCACTGTTTGCAGTCAGGATCCTGCGGACCCGCGTGAGCAGCATGGTAAGAACCCAGAGGCAGAGGCAGATGGTCCACTCCCCACAGCTGGTGCTTTATCGGGGGTAGGAGTCAGATGGGAGCTGGGCTGACAGAGGTGTAAGTGAAAGGGACTCCGGCGAGTCAGTGAGCATCTCGGCATCAGACTCCCTACCAAGGCAGCTACCAGCATCCTCGCCCCCAGCACGTTGTCCAGGATGTCAGGCCTCTGCTGACCTCTGCCCTTCCTCCCTAAAGACATAGAGCTTTCATGGGGCACCGCACACGTGTCCCACATGCCCTGGAGGAAACCTCCTTCTCTGTGCTGTAGGCAGGACTCTTTCCTGCAGATTTTTGTGTTTTCCCTAAAGGAAAGGGTCCTGCCAGATGAGAATAACACCAATTGCCTCTCATTTGAAGGGGCAGATTTCTTGATTTGCCTCTCTGTTCCCACTTCACAAACTGTGAACTTCCCTGTGTGGCATCCTCCTGGTGGAATCCCAGAGGGATAGGAGAGGGAGAAGGTGGCACCAGCCTGCAGGGGTCAGGCAGACAGGCCTTGCCCGGGGAAGGCGATCAGTGTTGGTGCTGATCCCCAAACTGGGACCCCACAGGGAGAGCTCTGTGTGGCCCAGAAGCAAAAACTCTTGCCAGAGTAGACCTGGACTCCAAGAACTGAGCCTTCCTGGATGTGACTGACTGCTCACAGAGCATTCCAGAAAGTAACAGAAATTAGAATGGCTCCCCACTGCTGTTTAGGACCTGGTCTTCACAAGGATCATCTGGCCAGAGATTAAAGCAGATAAACCTGGCGGGAATGCATTGATGAGGCAAATTTGCATGTGTTTTCCATCTCATTTGCTCATTCTCCCATAAACCCTGCAGCACATTCTCAGCCCGGAAGGATCTGCTTTTGCATTTTTCTCTTCTCTGACCCGTCGTGATGGTCAGTGACCTGGATCACTGACCAGAGAAGGGAAAGTACCACCATTCCCCTGGGACCAGGCTCCAGGTAACCTGACCATTGGAGTGGCTTCTTCGTTCTGCCTTCTGACCAGACTTTTATTTAGTTCCTTGAGCCGTCCTACTGCTTTGTCCTGGACACAGTGCCTGGTGTTAGGGTACGGGGACCGCTTGAGGCCCCGCCCTGACCATAGATGTCCTCAGCTGGGGATGCGAAAGGACAAGTCCTGCCTTCCCTTCTGACAGCCTCAGGGCATTGGCCAACAGGAGCGCTGACCTTGCTCGGTGTTCTGGAAAGAGAGGTTCCCCACCTCTGAGCTCTGCTGCGGTGGGAGAGGCCTTCTGAGGGTGAAGTCTTTCTCTCTCTGCTGGCGGTGGTTACAGGAAGCCCTCCTCCCAGCTCACTTGCAGGGGCTAATAACTGTAAGGAGCTGAGAAAGGATGGCCAGGTAATTTTTTATTATTTTATTATAGGTTTGTCTCACTTCCTGCACTAGATGTATGAACGGGGAAAAGCTGGGCATATAAGTAGAATTTTTGCCAAGTGCATTCTACTTTAAATAGACTGGGAATCTCACTATTTGAATGAAATCTTTGGTAAAGTAAAAATATCCTTTCACAATAGACTATGTAGCCCTTCACTTTTCATTTACTTCTAGGGTTTTGTATGTTGTATTTCTTAAAAGCTGGGCAAGCCTGTATTGTCATTACTGGTTATTCTCATGGCTCATGCTGGTAATTTCCAGCAAGTGAGCTTGTTAAGGTCATCTCCTGGCCCTCACCCTAGAACTTCCAATCCAATGGTCCCAGGTGCGGTCACTCTGAGTAACATCTAGGATTAAGACCATGGCCGGAAATCAGAATCTCCAGGGGTGGAGTCCAGAATCTGCTTATAACAAGCTCTCCAGGTGTTGATTTTACGTGCTCATGTCTTAGCGGCCAAGCCCATCTTTGCTGGGAGAGGAACCCCAGACCTTCTCGGGAGGGTGTGCAGTGCTGTGAGGCAGTCAGTGCCACCTTCTGCAGCTGCCAGCACTACTGCAGGGGCACACGTCTGACCTCCTACTCCCTGCCCGGGTTATACGTTCATGCTTCATTAGCACCTTCCCAACGTGCACTTCTTCTCTAGAGTTTTGTTTCAGGCTGGAAAGAGAAATGAATAAAGCAACGTTTTTGTAGGCTCAAAAAAAAAAAAAATCAGGATCCAGGCTCAGAGATCTTTGGTCTTCTTCAGATTGGGCTGGTACAGGCTTGCCAGTCCCTGAGACCTTCTGGGCACCAGCTAAGTCCCAGATTGTGGATGATGGTGTCATCTTCTCAGATTTAGTAACAATGTCAAGTGCCTGTCCAGGCATGAAATGAAAGTGATGTCTCCACAGCAAGCTCTGCTGCAGAGTCTGTGTGCCTTTGAGAAACCTCACTACTGCCTGTCCACCTTCCATCCACCCACCCACCCATCCATCCATCAAGCTACCTACCCTTCTACCTGTCCAAGCAGCCAGCCAGCCTTCCATCCATCCACCGACCCACTCTTCCATCAACTCCTTCCTTCCTCCCTTCCTCCCTTCTTCCCTCTTTCCCTTCCTCCCTTGCTTCCTTTCTTCCCTCCCTTCCTTTCTTCCATCCATCTGTCCATCCACCCTTCCACCCATCTACCCATTTATCCGTCCATCTACCCATCCTTTCCCTTATTCCTCATTTATTTAATAATATTTGCTGGAATATTTTGGTTTTGTGCCAGGCCTTATGGGTGATGCAAAAATGATAAATAAATGGTCCCAACTCCAAAGAGCTTATAGTCTGGTAGGTGAATTAAGACTTGTATTCAACTAAACAGAATACAGAGCAGATTGAAAATAGCTATTAGAAAGCTCCAAGGTGCTTTGGGGCCTAAGTTAGAAAGTAGATTTCCAGGACAGGACAGTGAGGAGTAAGATGCTGTTAGTGACCTTCTGGCTACTGGACGGCTTCTGGAAAGGCCCCATTTCCTCATCCCTTTCAGAAATCAAGCATAGCTTCCTCTGCTGGCTTACTGGGACCTTTGGAGTTCTGTCACTTTCCCTTTACATGCTTCACACAGATACAATCATACAGGGACCCAGTTCTTTGAAATTAGGAAAATGAGACCGCTGAGTGGGTAAGTGGTGCATGATCTGTGGGCCAGGTGACCGTGCTCCTATCTGAGAGCTACCATCTCCCCCTCCCACTTTTTCTCCTGTATCCCATTTCTCAGATATCCTGTCTGTAAGGGATCGGGGTAGGGGTGCCCCGGGGCCAGGTTGGAAGTGGGGCTGAGGTCTGGGCCACTCTGATAACTAAGCTCAGTGATGGAGACTCTCAGGAGTGGAGATGGCCTGTGATACTTGTTTTATTTGGCCTTTTTCACTTGCTCCATTGTAACACCCCTTTGTTCTGGGGCTGTGGGAGGGTAGAATACGGGCACTAACCTCCCGGAACTAACTCTTGAAGAGAGGAGTGGAGAACTTACGGATTTAGTTCTGCTGGGTGCAGACGTGCCTGCAAGGTCTCCCTTTTCCTCTGTATCCCTGCATGGCGCCTAATGTGGAGACAGGCATGCTAATGGATTGACACACAGACTGACTGTGTACTTGTATAAGTCCTGAAATCCTTTGCTCTGCTCTACCTTACAGGTTAATGGAAACAGCAAAAGAAATGACTCGAGAGTCCTTGCCCATCAAATGCCTTGAAGCTGTCATCCTGGGCATGTATCCTTTAAGTGACGTAAGCTTAAATTGACCTCTTGGTGGTGGCTTCGTTATGGGGCTGGTTGTGCCTTCAGCATCCTAGATCCACAGACATGATGCCTGTTGTCTCCTGGGAGGAAGGTGTCAAGCTCCCCCAGTGCTTCTCTATCTCCAGGGAAAATTCTCAGAGTGGATTGTAGTGGAAACCAAGCCATGGTGCAGTATCCTGACCCTACAGAACATAAAGCTGAAACAAGGGTCTGTTGTCTCCACACTTTTTGTTCTGTTTTCCGCCAGACTCCGGGCTTCTCAGCCTGAGGGGAGTGTGGTCCAGAAAAACCATGATGGCACTGACTTCGTGGTGGTGGCGTCAATAGAACAGATCTGGTAGAAGAGTGAAGAAACTCTCAGTCCTGGGGTGGATGGCTGGAAGGGACAGTGACCAAGGGAACACGGCAAGACATGAGCTTGAGCGGTGGGCCCAGGTTAGGACCTTGAATGCCATGCTGAGAAGTGTGACTTTTTCCAAAGATAGTGGTCAGCCCAGGCAAACACTCTGGAGCCAAGACAGAACATGATGAGGTGTGCACTTCAGAGAGGTAGATTGAAGGGCAGACTGAAGAAGGCGGGGGCTGCAGCTGCAGAGCCAGTTAGGAGCTGTTCTACGGGGAAATGGTGGTGCTTGAACCATGGTCCCGCAATGGGAATGGATTTGCGAGGACAGTTTCAAGGGATAGCAAGGGGATAGAATTTACAGGACTTGGAGACCAACCATGTGGAAGGAGTCGGCAAGTCCAGGTTTCTGGATTGGGGTGACGGTCTGTGGAGGATGGGCTGGAGGGAGGAGTGCAGCAGGGAGGTGAGACCCTGGGCGCAAAGCTGACCGCAGACAGTGGCCCTGGAGGTGGAGGGAAGGAGTTAGAGGGGTCGCCACCACCAGTCGTGGACTGATCAGATGTGAGGGGTTAGAAGAGCGGGAGGCCATGACTCCACATTTCTGGTTTGGAAAATTGCATGATTGGATAATAATGCCACAGTCGAAGGGAAGGGGCTCAAGGGGAGGTTTGGACTTGTGGGGAGGTGAGTTGAGATTTGGATATGTTGAATTTGAGGTACCTGGTGGCGGAGGGGTCATGTCGGGCATTTGGAGTGTGGAGCTCAGGAAGGGGCTAGCACTGGAAATACAGACCTGGGAGCTGGGAGTGTTTGGGGGCAGGGGGTGGCTGCTGTTCAAGAAGTGAGATGAGAAGAAGATCAAGGATGAAATCCCACTGTTTTCCATTTGAGTTGGACACAAAGAGCCCAGGACAGAGACTAGGGAGGGGAGTTAAGAGAGATGGAAGGAAAACCAGGAGAGAGAGAAGATTCAGGAGTCAGTGGCAGGGCTGGTGGCTCAGAGTCAGACTGGGGCCGGTAGGCTACGTCTGGTTTGTTTTCTCAGCCTCCTGGACGTTTTTGTGGGAAGGGGCACGTCTGCCCCTCTAGTCTGCAGAGCACTGGCCGGAAAGATCGGAAACAGGACTGCCCGCAGGTGCCCAGGCTGATGTCTGGACAGTGGAGACTTGAGCCTTGCGGAGGCCTTTCCCCAGCCCTCCTGTAGGCACATCGCCCGCCATGCTCCCCTCAAGGGGGTGAGACCGGCCCAGGAGCCCAGCGGGAGGGCAGGATGGGTCGGGGGTGGGGGGTGGCAGATGGCTCGGGCCCCACCCTTTGGTGGCAGGAGTCAGCACAGCTGTTGGGCAGAGCCTCCTGCAAGTTTAATGTGCTGAACAATTGTTGGGGACTTGCTGGGGATCAGTGACCGAGAACAAAGTGCAGCCCTTCACCGTGGGCTCCAGCTGCTGTCAACCTCGTCGCTGACTGAGGTTGCAGTGCACCCGGGCAGAGGTCGTCTTGCTTTCCACAGCAGTCTCCCTGCAACGTTACCCATCCAAGCCTAAACACCCTGAGTTACTGGAATTACCTAAAACCTTTGGGGTTGTGGAGCATGGACCCATGGCCAGCCTCTGGGCCTGTGCAAATCAGAGGATAGTGTGCTCTGAGTTCCTTGTTCTTACCGGTGTGACATTTCAGGGAAGTTCACAGAGGGTGGAGAAATTCAGCTCACACTGCCAACCTCAGGGAAATTTGACTCTTTCACACAGACAAGGGACACAGAGCTGAATTCTAAAAGTGACAGCACCTTTGTCTTTGCGTCAGCATCCCTGTGGCTGCTTGCTGCCCCGGCACACTGAAGGGCAGACTTGGGTCATCTGTCTCCCCTGCTCCCCGGGCCCTTCTGCAGGTCCTGGGGGACACGTGGTGCCTTGTCAACCCCAAGACAGGCCGGCTCGGCTGCTTCCTGGAAGCCTGGGTCCTTCGGCTTATCCTTCTTGCTTTCTCTTGTTTGACATCAGCCCAGAGTTCACGAATCATTCGGGGAAGGGTCACTCTTTTGCTCTTGCTTTGTGCATGTGCATACTTTGACACGCGTCCTGGAGAGACAGACCTTTGGTTCCAAATTATTTTCCGAATCATGACAGCTCTCTGGGGGCCTTGCTGACCCTCGTGGGGCTTAATCATGGTGCTAGAGTGCTGTGGTTTATTCAATAACAGGTTTGTTATTAGAGGCAGGTTAGGTGTGTCTGCAGCAGGCGGGATGCTGGGAAGACCTTCTGTGAGCTTGGAGCAGTGCTGCTCCCTTTTCCCAGCAAAAGCTCGGACTGCTTCCCAGTCCACACCGCCTTCTCCCCTCCCTCTCTCTGTGCACAGATGCTCCAGGTCCCGAGGCTTCACTGATTGTTATATAATGATGGCACAAATCCTAGCAGTTGGTGACTTGTGACAGGATGGACCAGGGGTCTCTCCAGTCCCCTCCATGCCCTCTTCTCCACTTGGCTGACTTTACTTGTCCTTTAAGACAATTCTGGTGGGGACACACCGAGGCCTCGCCTCTGCTCTCCCTGAGGTGGCTGGGTTTGCCTCTCTTAACAGCACACATCACATTGGGGTATGTGTTTGTGTTTGTTTTTTCAGATTTATTGAGATAAACTTGACATATCGCACGGTGTAAGTTTAAGATGTACAGCATGATGACTTGACACAAATATTGCAAATGTGGGGTTTTTAAGAATGATAGTGAAATATTCATAACGTAAATTTACCATGTTAACTATTTTTAAGTGTACAATTCAGTGGCATTGAGGACACTGACACTGTTGTGTAACTATCACCACCATCTATCTCCACAACCTCTTCTTCCTCAACTGAAACGCCAAGCCCATTAAACACAGCGTCCCCAGCCCCTGGCAACCATTCTACCTTCTGTCTCAATAAATTTGACTACTCCAGGTACCACATTAAGTTGAATCAGGCAGTATTTGTCCATTTGTGACTGGCTTATTGCACTTAGCATAACTTCCTCAAGGTGCATTCTTATTGTAGCAGATATCAGAATGTCCTTCCTTTTTAAAGGCTGAGTAATATTCCACTGTGTGGATAGACCACATATTGTTTCTCCATGCATCTGGTGATGGACCCTTGGGTTGTTTTCTACCTTTTGGCTGTTGTGAATAATGGTGCTATAAACAATGATGTGCAAGTATCTGTTTGAGTCCCTGCTTTTGATTCTCTTGGGTCTATACCCAGAAGTGGAATTGCTGGATCACGTGGAAATTCTCTGTTCAGTTTGCTTGAGGAACTGCCATAGTGATTGGATTCTGGCCATTCTGAGTCTGTCTCCCCACCAGACCTGCAGAGAAGGGCTGCGTTCTGCAGCTTGGGCTCCACAGTCCCACCTTGCAGTCTGTCTGGCACAGGAGATACTCAGTAAGTTTGTTACACAGACTTAAACAGCTGAGGAATGCCCTGATTCCAGCCCTAGAGAACTTGCCCCAGAAAGCAAGTGAGCATTTATGTAAGAGGACGGACACAGAAGGATGTGATTTCACTCCCTTCCTGCCAGTTCATCTCACATGGTAAAGTGAAAAGAAAGCAGGGAATCATTTTTATAGAGAGGAGACATTTGTGATTAAATCAATGGCAGAGGACAGGCTTCTTTTAAGGGTACCCGGATTTAGCCTCACACTGAGTACAGTCATTTTAAAATTTTTCTTTGAACTTTTAAAAATTTAATAAATGTATTTTTCATTATCTGTCTCACTCTGCTAAGACATAAACCCCACACAGGCAAGGGTCTTTCTCTGTGTTGGTCATCAATGTACCCCAAGAACCGAGGATAGTGCTCAATAGTAATTGCTTTATGAGTAAATGCAAAGGATGGGGTTAACCAGGGAAGGATTTGGAGGGGAGGGAAGGCCATCCCAGGCTTGGGGTTCACTTGTGCCATGAATGAAGATTGCGGGGGTCAAGGTGATGGGCACAAGAGTTGGGTTAGACTATCACCAAAAATGGGGAGATTTCTGTTGGCAAAGGGACGAGCCTGGATTTATCCCCTGAATCTGGTGGAAGACTTGGCTTTATGTTGGGATTTCATCATCTCAGTGACCAAAGTGGACTTTGGGATGATCAATCCGAAGAGATGTGCCAGGCAGGAATGAGTGGTTGGAAAGGAGGGGTGGATGGGAATTTGGAGGCCTTCAGGTTTGCAGGGAGGGTATATCATATCGTATGTCTGTGGGGGGAGGGAACCGAGCCATCATCTCAAAGAGGATATTCCATCTCCACTGAGGACAGAAGCAATGAACAAGTGTTGTACTAGTAACTGTGTAACTCTTGGTGCCTTTTGGGTTTTCAGCCATGTATGTGTATTTCCTTTTCAGACGTTTGCATTCTTCTTCAACAGCCAGTAACCCATCTGATTTGTTGCAGTAAACCAGCAGGCAGGCCATCCAAAAGCTTTTGGCGGAGGAGGGACCCTCACCCTTCACGGCCGCCGCAGGCTAGCAGGCATCCGGGTAGCCAGGCTGGGGCCGGCTGGGGATCACATGGCCCGTGATCATGGAGGAAGTCATTCTACAATAGGGATGTTGGTATTATGCAGTGGGTTTAGTAGCATGTTTTTGAAAGTTTCCTAGCTCACTTTGGTCTCATAGCTTTGTAATATAAAGGTCATTTGAAGTCTTCAATTGTATTTGACTTCATGTTCTAGGGGAATGCCTGTGCTGAGGGCAGTAGGCACAGATCTATGGATCCTTTATGGTCTCAGGGTGTATCCTTCAAAATTGTCGCAAGTCGACTGTAGGTCAGCATGAGGGCCCAGGGCGTTGGGTCACGAGGCGGTACAAGGGGTGATGAGCAGGGGCCGAGTCGTGGTAGGACTTTGCTGAGGGATTTGAACCAAGGCCTGGAGAAGGGGAGAGATGCTGAAAACTTAAGCAGAAGAGTGGTGTGTTCCAAATTTTGACTTCAGTAGATCATTCTGGCCACCATGTGGACAGTAAATTGGCACAGAGGCAAGAAATGGTCAGACAGTGCTCAGAGAGTGAATTGTACCCCTTCACGGAGCGCGTCCCATGCGCAAGCCACCTTAAGAAACTGGATTGATATTTATGTTAGAAAAGGTCTGGAGACACCTAAGGTTTTCAACAGAGTTTATTTTGAGTTTCCAATATTCCTCTCTAGAAGGGTTGAGTCCTTGGTCACCACAACCACACCAGGGCTGTCCAGGGACTTCGAGATGGACTTGAGAATGTGGTACCTCTTGTCCATTGTTCCAGCGTGCAGAGTCAGTGGGGCAGTTAGTTGAAACTACACCCTCCCTGTGGGGTTGCTGGGCCCAAACTGAGGTAGCGATAAGAGGCTGGGCGGCTCAGTCTAAATGGGCCGGTACATGGAGAGAGCTGAGCTGTGACGTCAAATGGGATGGGAACTGAGGGGAGCCTGAGATCTGGATGCTGCTGGCAGCTCTCTGGTCCCCAGGGATGCTGGCATGAGTGTGCGGGGGCCAGTGAGAGGAGCAGGCAAGGTGCAGATATGATTTATTCTGACACCTTTCTGTCCCTTCCCATCCAGATACTCAGCTGATCTATCTTCTGCATCTCCACTGCCTTAATTCTGCTTGTCATTTCTCCCCTGGACCATTGCAGAGGCCTTTAATTCCTGGTGTGTCCCACATTCTCCAGTCAGAATTAATAACTGAGAATGTCACTCAGATGGCATTAAAAAACCTCTTCTAACTTGTCATACCTTCTAGAGCACTGAGGGAGGAAATAAAGTACCTCGTGATGGTTTTGTTTGCATTTATTTAATTACTAAAGAAGATGGCAAGTCTTCCCTGGGTGTCCCCTATTAATTTGGTTTGGTATGCACCTTGTAGTAGGTACTCAAAGATACCGAATGAGTCCTTTACAAGCGGACAAGTCTGGAAAGGGTAGGTGTGGCCTGCTCAGAGGCAGAGGGATGGACCCACTGACCGTAGGGGTCACTTTCCCTTTCTGGGTGTCCAAATTCTGTGAATCTTCAAGGCCTCCTTTGTCTTCCTTGACTCAGATTGTCTAAGATACTTAACCAATGGACAGCCTTCCATCGAGCGGTTCCCCATCAGCTTTAAAACCTACTTCTCAGGAAACTACTTTCACCACGTCGTGCTAGGGATTTACTGCAATGGCCGCTATGGCTCGCTGGGCATGAGCCGAAGGGCTGAGCTGATGGACAAGCCGCTGACTTTTCGGACTCTGAGTGACCTCATCTTTGACTTTGAAGACTCCTACAAGAAGTACCTGCACACAGTCAAGAAGGTCAAGATTGGGCTGTATGTCCCCCATGAGCCTCATAGCTTCCAGCCCATCGAGTGGAAACAGCTGGTCCTCAATGTCTCAAAAATGTTGAGGGCTGACATAAGGAAGGAGCTGGAGAAATACGCCAGGGACATGAGAATGAAGGTGGGTGCTAAGAGGGCAGATGAGTGTTTCAAGGCAGTTCTTTCCCCCTCTCCCCTTCTCTCTCCCTCTCCACCCACCCCATCCTCCTCCCCCATCCCGTGCCCCATGCCCCATGTTTCTGGAATGCTCAATAGCTTTTTGAGGTTATCTTGCTTACCAGCCACCCTATTAAAACAAAAAGAATAAGCCGTTTGCTGTTTGACATAGACAGTTTAAGTCTTTCTTTGCATATGCTACTTTAAAAGTCAGAGCTAAAGCCAATTTAGATGTTATAGCTAAAGCGGTGTCTTGGCCTGCAGTTCATTCTATGAGTCAGTCTAAAATGTGAGTTATTTTATACTAAAGCTCTGGCTTTGTTTTTTTCTGTGTTGGCTTTATAATAAGAGTGGCCAATCATCTCAGGTTCCCTGAACCCAAGGGGTTCCCCAGGACATGAGATTTTCAGTACTTAAAGCCAGGAAAGTCCCGGGCAAACCAGGATGAGTGGGTCACCCTGCTGTGTAGCCTGTTTCAGAGTCATGTTTTATCTCTGCTCTGCTTGATAAGCTGCAAAGCCCTTTGGCATAAAATTCTGACCTGGTGTCACAATGGCACACAAAGGAGCATGCGCTCTGCTGGCTTTCTAGGAACTGCACTCATAAGCCCTTCTTTGCTCTGCCATGTCACTTCCAAGGTGGCAGGAGGTCTGCTTGTCCCGGCCCCTCCAGGGCTCGCGGAGTCACTGAGAAAGCCGGTGTGTATGCCAAGGGTCACAGGTGAAAGGGATTATGCTGAATTCAGGCTTGGTTGTGTTTAGCACTCTGGGATTTGTCATCTTCACTCGGCAGGACCTGGAATGAAGACTCTTGAGAAACTGAACCCACTCCGTGCGTGTGTTGGGGGTGGGAGGGTGAGAGGAAGCACAGGCTGGTTTCTGGGGCAATGAGGATGGGACTCTGCCTTCATGAGAGGGGAACTTACTGAGCGAGCAGACAGGCCCTGGAGGCTGGGGCGTCGGGCTCTGCTCTGCCCTCTGCCGGTGGTGGGGGGGGCACAGTGTGATCAAGTTATCCTCTGGGAAGTGGCACCTCTGCTTCCCACCGGTGCGGAATGAGAGAGGCACATGTGTCTCAGACCTCCTCCTGGCAGCCCTCCAGCTCAGGGCCTTCTAAACCACGGGCCAGGGATGGACCGGGGCTGGGATGCTGGGCTCCAGGAAGGAATGAGGGTGAGTCCGTTAGGAACCAGTGTGGTAACTCCTCATGTCTCCTCCAGATCCTGAAACCTGCAAGTGCCCACTCTCCAACCCAAGTGAGAAGCCGGGGAAAATCCCTGTCCCCCCGAAGGAGACAGGCAAGCCCCCCAAGACGGCTCGGCAGGCGAGACAAGTCGTGAGTAGTATTTCCCCTCCCCCAACTCAAGGCCCAACACGCGTCTGTGGGGCTGTCCTGGCTCACGGGGACAAAGCTGTGTTCTGGGCTTGGCATTTGACCCAAATGGAGGTCTCCAAGAGGTCTGCCCCTCATTCGGGGGACATCTCTTAGGGACAAGGCTCCACCGTGCACATCACCCCAGTGCTCTTACTTTCCAGACTGGCAGATGTAGACCCTGGTGGATAAGCCCCAGGCAACGTGAGCTGGAGAATAGCCCGAATCCTGGCAGTAGGGAAGGAGCACTGGCCTTAGAGCTTGGGAAGCTGGGTCTGGAGCCAGCTCAGCAGTTTAGGAGCCCTGGGGCTTTGGGTGTGTCATGCAGCCTTTCCCGGCTTCAGTTCTCTCTTCCCCCAAATGGGATGGTTAGAAGCACTTGTCTAAAACCCTGCACCTGTGCCCAGCAGAAAGCGTGCTCTCCCTCCACCATCCACCCTCTTCCTTGGCTGACTGGACCTTCCCTTGTTTTAGCCCCGGGGCTAGTGATTCCACACCTCCTTCTTAGGTCAAAATGATCCACTTGAGAAGTGATGGGTTGGAGTTGGTGAGGGTGCCCCCAAGCAACCGGTGATGACCCACGGGCGAGGATTTGGGCCACAGTTACACTGGGAAAGAACGCCGCTGTGATTAATAGCAGCACGCCGTGTCTGTCACATGGGTCTCGCCGTGCAGGGGACAGTGTGGCACAGAGCACAGGGCACTAGCTTGGGCCCCCGCTCTGCTGCCCGCTAGCCTTGCAGCCTGGACAAACCCTTTGGGAGCCTCAGCTTCCATATCCATCAAAGAGGACAAAAGTGCTTTTCTTGCTGATCTCGCAGGGCGCCGGGAGGCTCCAATTAGGAGATATAATGAGAGGCAGCTGTTAATGGTGAATTGCTGTTTACAAGCATATTGTTATTGTCACATCAGTCCTGTCAAGGGAGAAGGGAGAGTTTACAGTTTTCATTTTCCGATGAAGAAACCAGGGCTCGAAAAAGATTTGTTAGCTTGTGTTGTGTTGTGTAGCTGGTCAGTGATGGAACCCGGGCTGGAACCCAGATCCCTGACTCTGGGAAGGTGGTGGGGGAGGGGAGTGTTAGTTCTGTTTTTGGAAGAACAGGGCAGGATGAGGTGTTGTCAGTTCTGAGGAAGGTTTCCTCTTCCCCTCTGTTCCGTCTCCTACTGCCAATCCCAGGGTTCTGCATCTCCAGCCAGGAAGGCCTTCGACGAAATGACTAGAGTCCAGGGCTTGAAAGGGGAGGAATGATGAAATGGGAGGGTCGGCACCCCTGTCGCTGAAGGTCAGGAAGGCTTCTGCACAGGTTTGTCCTTTTAGGGAGCAGGATAACTTCTAGCCTTTTATACATGGCCTTTGACCCAGTACAGACCAACACCCTTGACCCTGGCCCCCTAACCCTGTTTCTCCTCTCTGGTTCAAACGTTCATTCCTTGCTGTCACTTAACAAAGTAGCAATTGTCTCAGAGACTGTGAACATGTAAACCCTTTCCAGACAGTGGTTTGGCATAGAGTGAGGGACCAGGAAACAGGAGTCCAGTTGCTTCTGTGCAGGGGAGGGGGCCCTTCAGTCTGACTGATGCTCCTTTCTGCCCATGGCGGCCTGAGTCCTCCCTTGGGGGCTCCCCCTCTTCAGCAGACATTGAGCAGACCACAGAGTCTTGCTCTTTCCTTGAGAGTCTGGAGTCCAGGGCACAGGAGACCCTCGGCATTCCACCCAACAGATTCATCCACAGTATGGCAGCTGTTCGTTTTTAATTCACTTCCTGTTGGATCCCTTTTACTTGGATCCTCAGGAACTCTGCAGTCCAAGGCATATAAAATTTTTAAACCAGAAAAAGTGACCGTGATTGCCCAGGGATGGTAAAGCCAATAAGATCTCAAAAACTGGTCATGGAGACAAAAGTCGGGGTGACAAGCTACTGGTGACAGTGGTGTTGGTGGTGGTTTGAGAAGAGTGGAGGAGGAAAGTGAGTTTGTTTAAACTGTGAGATTTGAGCTGCTTCTTCAGCATCCAGGGGGCTGTCTTAGAGGCTACTGGAAAGGTAGACCTGGAATTTGAGGATGTTGGGTAATCATGCACTTAGAGCCATTCACTCAGAAGGGACTTTTGAAGCAACAGCTGGATAGGTTTGCGAGGAAAGAGAAGAGAGAAGAAGTGATGTTAAAGTCCTGAGTGTGCCGGAGGAAGGACCCAGAGCAGGAGATGGCGAGGGAATATTCAGAGCAGACCTGGAGTGTGAGAGTGCATGCCTGTGTCCACAGAGGACGAAGGAAGAGGGCAGGTGTGAAGGAGGTGGGCAACGAGGGAGAGTGGAAGGTGGATGAGGAGGTAGAAGCTGGCGGACAGCACAGCAGTTGGCTTTAATCCTGCTGGTGAAGGAGGCCGAGTCCTCTAGTGGGTGTGCAAAGTGGGTGCTCAGTACAGGGTGAGGAAAGCACTGCACACAGCATGAGGGCCCTGCTGAGGATGGACAGGAGGATCTTGTAACCCTGTTCCCAAGCTCGAGCAAACATAAAACCACCTGGAGGGCTTGTTAGAACAGATTACCGCCCCCTCCCTGCCAGTGTTTCTGATTCAGCAGATCTGGGTGGGGCCTGAGAACATGCATTTGTGATCAGTTCCCAGGTGATGCTACTGCCCCTGGTCCAGGGACCACACTGAGAGACCCACCATTTGATCCCTCAGGGGGACTGATGTGCGGGTTGACCTTAGAAAGTCACAGAACGTCAGGATGGAGGTACTAGGCCTGCTGAGAGGGGCAGATGAGGCCATGGAGTGGGGGTCAGGGGCTCAGCCCTGCCTCATCCTGCCTGGGCCTCTGGATAATGAGGTTGCTGGAGTGAAGTCAGGATGCGACCCTGGCCTGGCCCTATGGTTGGGCCCCACTGAAATCATTCTGGAAAGAACCCAATTGATCCTTCTACTGGGGACCAGATAGAGAAATCCTGTTCTCAGTCACCCCCCAGGCTATGCCTGTGTGCTAATCTCCAGCAACTTTGTCACACAGCCAGGGCAAGCGACCCCGCCGGCGCCTGCAGAAGACAGCTGTTAGACTGCCATGGACGTGAGTGCAAAGCCCCTTATAGCGTAGCGTCCGCTCTCGCCTTCTCCCCTCCTGCCCTCCTGAGGGGTGGGAGTGGGCCTGGGAATGGGGAGAAAGACTAGGGAGAGGGCAGTGGTCACCGGAGCGGGCAGCAAGGAAGACCCGCAGAGAGATGGGACTCAGTTCCATCACCTTCCTTCATGCCCTGAAGCGGGTCCCAGGCCCCTGGAGCACAGCAGTGATGGCTCATGGTTCAGCGAAAGTGTAAACTTTTACAAAATGGTGAGTGGCTGCAACCAGCCCCTGAACCCCTTAGACTCAGGGCCCTTCCCTGTAGTGCTTTCTTCTGGGCAGAGCACTGGTTCTCAGGAGTCTTCCCTCATAAACTCCTCCCAAGGGTCCGAATTTGGGGATTTTTTTTCCCCACAGCTAGGGCCATGTGGCCTTGGAAGTTTGACCATCAAGGGAGCCCAGGTGACTGATGGGCTCCTATGGACAATTTGATGTGTGCGCGTCAGTACGAGCATGGTTGTTCTTGGCGGTGGAGGCCCTTGCTGCTTCCTGTCTCCTCTCCCAGTGTCTGGAGGTCAGGAGGGGAACCTAGAGGGCAAATGTCTTGACTGAAGTTTCCCAGTGGATGGAGGTGTAACAGGAAGGAAAAAGTCTCGCCCCAGCTCTTCCTAAACCCTGCCTTCCGGGTCTCAGGGGTGGGTGAGGGGTGACAGGGTCACCGTGTCGGAGGAGAGGGAAGAGAGATGCAGGAGATGAGAGTAAAATGAAGGCTACGAGAGGTGGGGACCGCAGGAAGGATTGAGCACCAAGCCCCTCCCTCCCTCTCCAGATCCCAGCTTCCGCCATTGCAACAGACTGGGACCCAGGACAGCCTGGCTCCTAGAGGTGTGTCTGGAGAGAAGCAGCTTCTCAGCTTCTACCCTTGGCCTTCACCAAGCAGGCTTTTCTCCAGATAACCTTGCTTCTGGCAAGAAAGTGACAAATCTGGTTATGACCCAATAACTCCATCAAACTCTGGGTTTCCTACAGTAGCATGGTCAAGACTAGGAAGGGTTTGGTGACTGTCACTGTGTTATTATCTCAGCGTTGCCTCAGACCATCAAGTCATTTCTAAATGTGCTGGGTGCCACAGTGGAGCTGGGGAGTGGCCCACAGTGTGGAAAATGACCATAACAGGCAAGAGGCCCATCAGCGGTGGGGTCCCAGCCCCTCTCTGTGCATGGATAATTTTAGTGGCTTTATATCCCTGGCCACCTCCTCCCTACAGCTGGAGCCACTTCCAGCCCTGCATTCCTCTCCATTTTTGCACTTGTCTGAATAATCCTTCTAGAAAGGAGGATCAGTGTCATTGGGTTGACAAGAGAGTCAGCTGAGTGGGAGGGCAAGTAGCAGTGACTGCATTAGTGTTGGCTGAGACAAAGTTTCAAGAGAGAAACAGGGACCCCCTGCCTCCTCCACTCATGCGTTCTTTCTCGTACTCAGCTCAACTCAGTACGAATGTTTAAAGCACCTTCCACACAGAACAGTCAGGTTGTTTCCTGTGGTTCTTTTTATTTTGGGGGGTGAGGGTTGGGGAGGAGGTAATTAGGTTTCTATTTATTTATTTTTACTGGAGGTACTGGGGATTGAACCCAGGACCTTGTGCATGCTAAGCACGCGCTCTACCACTGAGCTATACCCGCCCACCTCCTGTGGTTCTTAAAGAATCAAGGAGATGGTGGTTGAGATCTATGTTTAAAAGCCTGTGAACTTAAACCAACTCCTTTACAACTCTGGGCTCTGTCCCCTTGTAGCTCTCTTCACTGAGGGATGTTCACAGAGCTTCTCAGTAGGGGCCAGGGTGCCCCCTGGTGGAGATGGGTATAAATACAGTGGGAGGAGAGGTTTTTGCTCATCACAGTGATAAT